CAACTCTTGGGCTGCCTCTTCTCAGGATTTCTGCCCCTACACTCCCACTGGGTGCTCCACTGGTCGGAAACTTAACCATTAATACCACTGTTTGGGTGCATTCTTCCTAGACCTGGTTCCCCTTGAGTTTCTGGAGGAAAGAGAATACGCTAGAAGAATATGCCTCTGGGTACAGCACAGAGAAGTGCCCAGTGAAGAAACAGGGCCGCAAAGAAGAGAGGAATGGGGACGAGGGGAGGGAAAGAGAAAGACAGGAGAGCGTGGAACAGCTGTTCCCAGCCCCTCCACACCACTCCAGCCTACTTCCTGCCAAGGAGGGAGGTCATTCTCAGCGACACATGCGGGGCCTGAAATAGACACGTGGGGCCTTGGTGGTGCACTGTCACAGCCCAACGCTGAGCAGCCCCACCCCCCCTCCTGGGCCACTGAAGCTCCCTCTCCTCCCAGGGCCCTGCCCCTGCAGCCAAGACCCCTCCCCCAGCAGTGCCCAGGCCTCGCCACTGTTCCTGCTAACTTTGTTTTATAAATAACCTATATAAATAGGCTCCCTCGAGTCCTCGGAGCATGCAGTGTTTAAGGACTGGGGCACTGCTGTAGGCATAATTGTACTACTGAATCCATCAGCTGCCTAATTACCATTCATTTTGCATTTATTTCTGCTAATTAAAAAGAGAGAAACTCCTAACAACTTTTACGTAAATACTATATTTGTTCTATGTTAAGATGGGATGCTAATTTGCTGGTGATTAGCTGATTATCTAATTTTATAGCTGTCACACAGGATGGCCCTGTCTCCCCCTCTCACCCCAGACACTACTCGAGACCCCTGATCAGGTGTTGGAAGAAGGGGTCAAGGGAGGTCCCCATGGGTTGTTAGAGGGTCTGTCTGAGGCTCAGGGAGCACCGCATGTCACCCGGGTTTGGGAGGCTGCAATCTGACTGATAGAGCTGGGAGCCTTGGGCTCATTCACAGTTTCTGTACGGATGTAGAAACTGAGGCTTAGAGAGGTCCAGCATCCCCCGGTAAGACAGTGGTGGAGGCAGACCCCTGACCCACGTGTTTGGCTACCCCCCCATGCTCATCCCACTGTACGGAGCATTGTCAGAGGAAATCTGCAGGGCGATGGCTTCACCTGCAGCTGGAGAAACATCTGTCCAAACTCCAGCCCAGGTGCGAGAAAGGCAGCGGACCAAACGCTCTTGCGCCCTTCTGAAAGCCTCCACCTCCTCCCACTTGCTCATCCAGCACAGGGCTCTGCTCCCACAGCCCCAACCCCACTTACCAGGCCTCACTCCCCAGCCTAGGCCAGCTTCCCGGGACCTACCTGCACCCAGCCCCAGGCCTGTGCACTCTGCACTGTCAGGGCATATGCAAGGGTCTGTTCCAGATCTTAAAACTGTATATTTTCATGTGAATTGGACAAAATATAATTAATACATCAAACCCATAAATTTACAGAGTATATTGCTTTGATTAACTAAAAGTAAAGTTATTGGTTCAAATGATTTAAACAACAATATGTAAATAATTTAAATGGAACACAGGATGTGGCTTTCAGTATCTAGTAACTGAAGTTGGGGACACACTCGGGGAGCGGGGAGCGTCTGAGAACATCAGGTCCGGAGGCCAGGCAGATGAGGGACCTGAGGGCAGGGTTGGCCAGTCTGGCCTGTAGGCCACCACTGCCTCATCCCACACCCAGGATGACAGTACCCCTGGGTCATGCCTTTCTCTCCCTGGCCCTGCAGTCAGGAATTAATTAGCCCACCACAGAGAAATCACTTGCCTTCAGAGACAGTTTGAAGGGGACTCTGTTTCAGGAAAACCAGGAAGTCAGACTGCTCCACCTCGCCCAGGGGCCAGGTGCAGGTGAGTGGCTTTAAAGGGACTCCCTGGCTGGCCCAGCTCCCCAGGGACTGGAGGGTGAGACCCTGGCTGCCCCTTTTCTCTCTTCCTTCCTGAATAGTCTGAGAACGGCCAGTTCCAGACATAAAGGGAAAATGACTTTGACTAGACCAGGTGTCACATGGGTAGCTAGAGAGGTCAGGGCCAGGATGGGCACAGCTTGGTGGAGACCCCAGAGGTCAGAGTTCCAGACCTGGCTGCACGTCCTGGAACCTCAGTGTCCTCTGGCAGCTGGAGGCTCCTGCTCTCCTTCCAGGGCTGCTGGAAGGAGCCTAAGAGCCGTGTGCAAAGTGCCCCTCTGAGAAGCGCTCAGTGCGGCTGGTGGTGAGCCCAGTTGCCCGGCCAGGGCCCCCCTCGGCCACCCACCCGCCGCCACCGTGTCTGTGCCGCCAGAGATCTCCCGCTCATCTGCCCTTTATCGCCCTGCACACAATCAGGGGAAGCCTGGAAGGCTCGGGGGCTGGGCAGATGGCAAACAAAGAGAGAAAACAAAGCACTGCTCGAGGAGGCCAGAGGCAGGTGCCTCCTCCCTCTGATCCCTGGCCAGCCGGGCCCTCCAGCGCCTGGCCTTGGCCACCCCCAGGCTGCAGGTGACCTGCCCCACCCCTACAGAAACTAGCCTCAGACCTCACATGGTGTCACCACTCGCCGGGTGACCCTTGACAAGTCACTTCTCCAAGACACCCTTTTCTTATCTTTAAAATTCGGGCTTGGACCGCATGCTGCATGACCTTCAGCAAACCCCGCCTCCTTCCCTGACGGGGGCCCCTTGAGGCTGCTCAACCCATCTCTAAGAGAACCCCCAACCTCAGAAAGTCAAGTTAGTACTTCCAACAGTACAAGATAAAGGGCCATTCGTGTTAGGTCCTCGTCTCTGTGTCGTCTCTCCTGTTGATGGAGGTGGGCATGCTGGGACACCACGGAGCTTCAGCCCAGCCCGCCCGCACTGCGCGGGTCCCGGTGGGAGTGTGCTGGCCCCGCGGGGCTCTAGGTGGGAGGGCATCGCGTTTGAGGTACATTTCTGTGTAAGCATTTCTGGTAACAGCTTAAAGGGGCCTGGGTTCCTAAGGCTCTGGGAATTTGTTATCATTTATTTTCTCATTCTAAATATGTATTTGTAATTGTATGTATATTTCTAAAGAGGACCTCCAAAACGGTGTAGGCCTCAGGCCCAGCCAGCCTGGGCCACCCCTGCTGAGCTGTGACCTCTGCCGTGTTTCCAGGGCTGGCCTGCCTGCAGCCGCAGCGGGAGGAACACCGGCCTCGCAGCCGAGGGACGACTCCTCTCCCTGCGGACAGCGTGCTGTTCCGTGCAGGCCTGCCTCTGAGCACCCCAGGCTGCAGACCACAGCCCCGGCTGAGGAAGCCCCAAGGAGGGCAGGCTGAGAGAATGGGACCCTCAGAGAAGGCCTCCTGAAGGGGACCCCAGATGTGCAGGAGCCCCTGCCCCTGCGCTGTAGGCTGGAGCCCTGTCCTCTCTCTCCTCCCTGCTACCCCATCTTGTGTGCGCCCAGTGGGCAGGCGCAAGGGGCGGCCGGGGCCACGGGAAGCAGGCTGCCGAGTGGGAACCGTTGCCCCTGAGGCTGTCCCCGCTGTGGCTGGCTGTGTGCCGAGCCCGGGTTCAGGGCCAGGTGGAGGCCCGGGAAGGCCCTGCCCTCAGAGCCCTTGAAGCAGCTGGAACCCCCCATTCACGCCTGGAAGGGCGAGGAGTGGGCAGGGACTGCGGTTTTAGGCCCTTTGCCTCGCGCCTCAGAGAAGGGTCAAGAGAGCCAGGGGCGCTGAGGGTGGGCTTTGGCGGGGGAGGCCCAGGGTGGGTGCCCCGGGCCCTGGCGCCCCCACTGGCAGCAGGGCCTCTTGTCCCTGGGCTCTGACAGGGACATTTATAACTCACAGCTGTGCCGTCCTGGGCCCAACTGACTGTGGTAAACCGATCTGGCTTCAGGAAGTCTCGTCCCGAGGCCACTCCCCACCGACCCCACACTCTCCTTTACCTCATGATACCCACATCCTGTTCTCAACAGGAGGGGCCCAGCCCGGGTCCCAACCTGTGGGCAGAGCTGGGGAGGTCAGAGAAGCTCAGACAGGCCTGAGACTTTCGAGGTGGGGTCTGTGGGATTACCAGGATCGACCCCCTCAGGGCACACCCAGGGAGACCCAGGCACGCAGAGAGCCAGAGGTCACCCAAAAGCCCACAGGAGCTGAGGACCAAGAGCTCAGACTGTGGAGCCCAGGGGTGTGTTCTGTGCTCTCAAATCTAACCAAAGAGGGGATTACACATCTAGCTCTTGCTGACCAACTCCAGCCTAGGGGAGCCAAAAGGAAACGGGCAGAGGGGAGCCAGAGGCCTCCGAGAACATGGGGGAGAGATGCCATCTTGGACCCAAGGCCTGCATGGCCTGCTGCCCTACGCGGGGCACCCAGCCTGGGACCAAATTCTACCCCATTTGCCTAGATGCTCACAGCAGGGTTCATGTTGGGGACAAGCACAGTCTGGCCCATGCTGGGAAGAAAGGACAGTATTACAAACCGTGACTCTGACCCTACCTCCCTGGCCTTGTTTGCGAACTAATTCTTGGGTCCTGTCAACCAGGCACCCCTCCCGTAACTCTTTCTCCTTCTGTCCAGGAAGACAGTTGATAAACAAAATGGTGAGTTTGCCAAAGCTTGGCCTTCGTAACTGGTAACCTGTGAAAAGATTCTAGAACGAGTAGCCAAAATAACATATAACTTTGTTTCCTTAGTTAAATATATATTAAGGTGTATTAAAAACATATAACTAGCATATCAAACCAATTATTTCATGGATATGATTGCTTTGGACAAGACTAGATTGGAGCTAAAAAAAAAAAAAAAAAAAGTGAGTTGACGTCAAGATAAACATTAAGTCACCGTACAGATAGGACCCAGCAGTGGGTCACCAGGGGCACAGGAGAGGGCCTGAAGTTTGCGCAGCGCAATAAGCAGTGGGCAGGCTCCTCTCTGTTCTGGGCTCCGTCTCCAGCTTCCTCTGCCAGCTGTGAGCAGGGTCTGGCCCCGCGTGCCGAGGGGTGCGGAGGACGCAGTGCGAGCCGGTTTTGCGAGGAGGTGTGCACATGAAACGGCTGCAAGTGTTGGTCAGAGGTCTGGTGAGAGCTTCATAACAAGGGCAGAATTCAGGCAGAGGTCGAAGAGTGGCTTTGGAAGTGGCTGCCGGCCGCGTGAGATAATCCCCAGGAGCCAGGCACGGTCCAGAGAGGACAACACTGTGGGGCTCTGGCCCTGCTAAAAATACCCGACAGCTTCTCCCTGTCCCCCTGTCCCCCCGCTTGGGCTGCACAGCAAGGCCAGGGCTCGCCGCTTTTCTCACCAGGAAGAGAAAGACAACACAGAGCCCCCGAGCCCCAGAAGGAACAAAACAGATATATTTAACAAATTGTTAGGACTCCCCCTAGGAGGAGTTGGCTTGCTTGTTGGAGACTTGGCTGGGAGACGGCGGCTCTGGTAATCAGGTGTCCCGGGAGTGCTTGCGTGGCCCAAGAGGCCCTCACATTAGCCCAGCAGTGGGGGACAGCGATGTGAGGCAGAGGACTGCTGTCTTTGTCCCTGGCCGTTCACACGTGTCCGTCTTTCTCCCTGTGTACCCAGGACGAGGAGGAGGCTGCCGCATCAGACCAATGCTGCGAGGGGTGTGAAAAGAGCCGTGTTTCGTCACTCAGCTGCCGCACCTAGAAAGGTAACACCAGACTGCCAGCGCCCTGCTGCCCACACCAGCCGCCACTGTCACCTGGCCAGGGGCAAGGGGGTCAGTCTTTTCTCCCAGCCCTTCCTGACCCAGGCTGCAGGGCTTCTTGCAACTCCTTGTGTGTGTCGAGCACAAAATGCTTCTGGGCTTCAGTTTGTCCATCTCTTAAATGGGTCCCCCAGTTCTCAAGATTTCTGTGAATTAGCTCGGCCTGACTGCTTTGGAGTTAAGCTGTCTGATTGAACTCTGGGGGCATAGCCAGGGATCCTCGCCCTTGTAGATGAGGCTAAAAGATCACAGGACCAGTCGGCGTGGGAAGAGGATTTTCTAAGACAGACGTGGTTAGAGATGTGGTTCACTGGAGATGTGTCCGTGGCAGTATTTGAAACTCCAAAGTGATTTCCCTGGCAGCTCTGCGTAAGAATTATTATCTATATTTTTAGACCACAAGACCAAGGCGCAGGGAGGTTAGTGGGCTTGCTAGGGGTCCACAGCAGGTTCTAGCCACATCAGAGCGGCTCGGCTGTATCCCGTGTGCTATATTGGCTTCTACACTTTCAATGCTGCGCTGGTCTGGCCCATCCTCCCCAGAGAAGTCCCGCTATTGATTCCAAACAACCACCAGGCTTTCTTATGTGCCTGTGGTGGACCCCCATCCACCATCATTTATCCACTCACCTATCCATCTAGCCCTCTGCCCATCCTCCCACCCCACCATCCTTCCATTTACTCATTCATCTCTCTGTCTACTCATCGACCCATCCACCCATTCCTCTGACCATCCATTTATTCATTAATTCACACGTCACTCGCTGCTCGTATACCAGACCAGGCCCACACTGAGGGCTGGGTTTTGAGGATGGATCAGATTCAGCCCTGCCCTGAAAGGTGCAGTCCACAATGAAGGGAGACGCCTGACCCCAGAGCCAGACCCAACTCCATAAGCTCAGTGCTCAAGGCTCGTGTAGTGTCTGTGCCTGCACGGAGGAGGCCCACGGGCTGGCTCTGCAGGCAGGCATGCAGGGAAGGCTTCCCAGGGGAAGTAGCATTGTTCATGCTTCGTGCCTCAAATGCTTACTGAGAAAGTCTCCGTGCTGGGAACTGCTTGTGTTTTGGAGACACAGGGACTGAAACTGACTGAATTCCCTTTCCTCACAGCACGTACATTCTCACTAGGAGACATGGACAATAAATACCCCAAACGTGGTCTATGGTATGTCAGGTGATAATAAATTTAAGCAGAGAAGTTAGTCAAATAAAGTAGCAGAGTTCACAGGGTCGGGTAAAGTGTCCTTTGACAAAGGATGGTCAAGGAAGGCCTCCGACAAGGTGGCATTTGAGCAGAGACCTGAACACAAGGAGGGAGGGAGCTGGGGTGCACTTGATGTGTTCAAGGAAGTAGCGGAGAAGCCACGTGGCTGAAGTGAAGTGAGGGGTAGGAGGAGACAGCAGAGAGACCCTGGGGGCTCACTCATGTAGACGGGCAGGAGTGGAGCCCGAGGATGGCTGGGAAGCTGTGGACCCCATCCAGGTAGGGGTGGTGGTGGCGGCTTAGACTAGGGGTCGTAGGGGAAGAGATGGGAAGCCATCAAAGTCTGAATATATTTTAAAGACCTTGCAGACAAGCCTGCGGCGGGTGGATTAGAGGTAGAGCGCGAGAGAAGGGGGGTTCGAGGAAGGCTTTGGGTTTGAGGCAGGAGCCACTGGTAGAACGGGTGGCCATTTACTCAGCCAGGGATGACGGCAGGGGAGGCTGGAGGAAGCCGAGGGGTTGTGTTTAGGAAGTTAAGTTTGAGATGGTTTTGAGCCTTCCAAATGGAAAGATCGAGTAGACAGTTGGACAGATGAGCATGGGAGGCCGAGTGCGCCCCAGTGGGAGAGACACGTGTGGTAGCTGTCGTGTGTAGATGGTGTTGCAAGCCGTGAGGTCACCTTGGGAAGGAGTGGGGACAGAGCAGATCACAGCCTGAGTCTGCGTCACAGCATCCAGCCCCTAGAGGGAGGGCAGATGGAGTGGGGGCAGGAAGCCGACTGAGAAGGGGCAGCCAGGGCGGGAGGAGAGCTGAGACAGCGGGTTCTTCATGGATGAGGATGATTTTGCTGGCAAAGGAGAAAGGACGAGCCAGGAAGCAGGAAGAGCATTAACGAAGGCTCAGAGGCCTCAAAAAATGAACCATGTGTGGAGAAGTGGTAGAGAGGGAGCGGGGACCAGAGCAGCCTCCCCTCCACACCTGGCCGCCCAGGGCCCAGGCTCAGGAGGTCCTGGCTGGGCTGTGGGTCTGCGCGTGCCCAGGACCCTCCGTATCACCCTGGAGAGTACTCCCTGAGCTTGGCCAAACCTCTTGTTCCCATGTCTGCATATTTTGCACTTTCTTTAAAGAAGCTTCTCCTAAGTCTCCTGAACTCGCACCTGCCCCCTGGGACCCTTGGGTCCCCGAGACCTCCCGCTTGCCTGGAGTGCTTGTCTTAAAACACTGGGCTCAGTGGGGTAGCCGCCTGCGGGGAAAGGGCACCCACACCTTCCTACTGAATCTCTAAGCAACGCCTGGGCCCTTCATCTGAAAGGAACCTGGAAACTTCCTGGACTGTGAGTGCCTGTCAGCTGCCTGCCAGCGCTCCCCAGTTACAGCAGCCGAGCTCACTGCCCTCGCTGGGCCGTGTGTGTGCTGGGGGGCGTCCACGCTGGGACGTTTGTGGTGTTTCACACGTAGCACTCAGCTCCCAATAGGGAGAGGAGCTGTCCCTGAACGAGCCTTGAGAACCGACCAGCAAGTGCCCAGCGTGTGCTCCCAGGGGAATGGGAACTGGAAGAAGAGCATACACATTGCCAGGGGTGTGCAGGGGCACCAGCTGGCCTGGCTGCCTGAGCAAACGCACCCTGAGGTGGCGAAGTCTTGGGAGACTTCACACAAAGGATAGCATGGATCCTAGCAGGGGCTTTATGACTCTCCAGTCCCTCGAGGATATATGCCTCTGACTCTGCTTGGGGTCTGGGGGAGCCATGGGAAGCCGCTCTGATGGTCAGGCTCCATGGCAGGCTGTCTGGGTAATCTAGTTAGTGTGCCCAGCGGATGGGACAAGTAATCCTGTGCCTTAGACTCACTTTCTTTAAGCTTGTCCCCACCCAATCTCTCCCTAAATCCACCCACTGCCTGGGTCACGTTGGGCAGGAGTGGACGTATCCCCATTGAACAGATGGGTAAATCAGGGCCAGAGAGGAAGAAGCTTGCACGATGCCTCCGCTAGTTAGTGGCAGAGGTGGAGCTGTGAACTGGGTGGGCCTGAATCCCAAGCACTCTTACCGCTGCCCTCTACCATCTCCTGGGCCCTTCTGCAGTATCCAGACTTGCAGGCACCCTTATGTAAACCACGTCCCAACTTCCTCATTTCATAGACCAGGAAACAGAGGGCCAGAGAAGGCAGGACATGGGCCATGGCCACACAGCAAGTCAAGGGCAGAACCTATACCAGAATCTGGTCTGGCTCACTGTGCCCACCCGCCCCCACCCCCCATTGGCTGGTACAGGGACCCCATCCTGGCCCTGCCCACTTCCTCTTGGAGCGCCCACTGCCTCCTGTTCTCCACTGGCCTCTGGCGTTCGCTCAGGTCAAGGCACCGGGTTCCTCCTCAGAAGGCTCTTTGTGCCTATTGTTTAAATATAGATTACTAATGAAATGCCTTTTCATTGCCTTCCAGTGAATAGTTTCCGTGTAAAGTTAATTTGCAGTGTTATGTAAATTCTGTTTAACTTCAATCAGGTTTCTAATTATGTTTTTACCGCAGTAATTCCCGTTTGATTTGTCATCTCCTGTTAGGTACTTAATGTGCGGTGGGTGGGTGTGCTCTCTGTGTCTCTCCTAACCAAAGCCCTGTCCACCCCTGACCCCTCTGCCTGTCTGTCTGTCCCCTTTGCTCCTCTCCCTTCATTCTCTGCTCCTTCCCTGTGGATCATTTCCCACCTCCTCCCCTCCCTCCCGCCTCTCTTCCCTTCCTCCTCTTGCCCAGCTGCTCTCCTTCCCTCCTGTTTGCCTCTGCTCCTTCTTGCTTGGTCTTGTCCCTGCCCCTCTCCTCCTTCCCTTCTTCCTTCCCTTTCCCAGTGTCCTCTCTTCCATCGTCCTTTTCTCTTTTTCTCCATCACTCCTTCTCTACTTCTCTCTTGCTGTTCTATTTTTGTCTCTCCTCCTTCCCCCACCCCACCCTAGCTCGCTCGCTCTTTATCCTCGTTTGTATCCCAAGTTCTCCCCTCCCCCACACTTTCCTCTCCCTTATTTCTCCCTCTTCCTCTTCACCCTTGAGCCCTTCCCCAGCCACGTGCAGGGGATGCTCCGCGCCCTGGGACAGGAGAGGGCAAGGGGTGGGGCTGGCGGGGCCTGCGGCCCTGGAGAATCTGGCCCCAGCCCTTGGGAGCCTGGTCAGGGCTCAGCCGAGCTCTGCGCGGGGCTGCCCCTGGCGCTGGGACCTGGTTAGGAGCATGGACGCTAGAGGCTGGCTCCCCGCGCAGTCCCGACCCACCCTTACTCATCGTGTGGCCGTGAGCCCCATCTGTATGGAGTGAAATGTCACCTACCTCGTAGGGTTGTGGTGAGAAGTAGTCAGATGACAGAAGAAGGGAACTGGTTCTCATTTGAGAACTCTCAGCCGCGCCCCTCATTTCCCCGGGCTGCCCGAGGCGGCTCTGCAGTGGCTGTGCTGGGGTCAGGCCTGAGGCCAGGGCAGGGCCGAAGGTGCTTAGAACCCCAGAGCTGGTGGCAGGGGTCCCCCTGGAACCAGGTCTCAGCTCTGCCTGTCAAGAGGTGTGGCCTCCTCCCTTCATGATGATAAGCCTGCCGTTCTGTGGGAGTGTCTGAGGCATAGACCCCCCCCCAAAAGCTAGAGGAGCCCTTAAGACTGGCTCGCAGACCTTTCCCAGACGACAGACCGAAGGCAAACCTGCTCCGGCCAGGTTGAACTAGGAGCCCCCTTCTCCACCCTTTCTCATTCCTGGACGCCC